GTCAGAGAAATCAAGCCTAGAGCTGTGAGCTCAGAGACCAGATGATCACTGGGAAGGCTCTATCTACTCTGATTATCTAACAAGCACGCTGTTGGGTATTAGAAATCTGATGCAATCGGTTTGCCTGTTATAAAATACCTATAGCCGAATCCTACTTTGTCCACACCACAGCTGCTGTGATCAGCACAGGTGAGACATCAGCTGCCGTCATCACCACACATCTCAGCAGGGCCCCAACTCACTAGTTTTGCTTTTCCTTAATCTACATTTCTGCTTGATTTAATAATCGCATTCCTAATTCCTTTTTAAAGATTAGAACTTCGTAGAGAATAGTTCTACCGTCCTGCATAACTGAATATGAATACCATAAAAAGCCTCAACAGCAGTGGGCGACCTCTTCGCACTCATCAGAGAACTCAGAGACACAGAAACAGAAAACCAAAACGAGGCCAGCCTTCCGAGGAAGGGGCAACAACGGCTCTCGGCTTCTTTCAGTGCCACAGGGCCGGTCGCGTGTGCCCGGGTGGCAGGAAGGCACTTACCCAGCATGAGGAGCACCTTCTGAAGCTCCCCTTGCCTGGCGGAGAAGTACAGCTGCTTTGGGTGGAAGCGAAGCTTCTTGGGTCTGTGGGAAGCACAGGACAACAGTTGGGTCAGCATGGGGCTCCGCGTCCCCCCCGTGAAGCTGAAGGCTGGAAGGCCCAGGGAACGTCTGCCCACCAGCCCCACAAGCCCAAGTGCAAACCCACCAGTCTTGAGAGAGCTCATGGTAAAAGCTGCAGAACAAGAAACTGCCTTCCCCGTCACTGCAGGAGAACGCCACACACCGTGAGGCTTTACACAACGCGACAACAGAGCCAGCGCAGGATGCAGGGGAACAGGGTCACGGCAGGCCCCAAGGACCTCATCTATGCTCAGCACGGCCAAGACCAGCCCCGGCCAGGATGAGCCCACACAGCGTGGTCATGAGTGAGGGCACAGCTCGCACTACAGAAGATGCCTGGGGCAGTGAGAGCTGTCAACACTGGCACTTTTGCTTTGAAACCTTAACTCGATGACTAAGCTGATAACTGATATGGTTTAGACCTGTGTCCCTCCCAAACCTCATGTTGAAATGTGACCTCCAGTGTTGGAGGTGAGACCTGGTAGGAGGTGACTGGATCCTGGAGGCAGATCTCTCATGAATGGCTTCGCGTCATCCCTCCCCCGGTGAGTGAGTTCCTGCTCAGTCAGTTCCCACAAGATCTGGTCACTTAAGAGTCTGGGAGCCTCCCCTTCTCTGTCTCCTGCTACTGCTCCTGCTTTGCCTCCCACCATGACTGCAGCTTCCTGAGGCCTCCCAAGGAGCAGATGCCAGCACCATGCCTCCTGTACAGCCTGGAGAACCGCGAGCCAATTAAGCCTCTTTTCTTTGTAAATTATCCAGCCCTGGGCATTTCTTTATATTGACACAAAAGCAGACTAACGCAATCACCAAGGGATGGGGGAGAAAGTGGGGGTTGGGAACAGTCTGGGGTCTGGTCGGTGAGCAGGGTCTGTGGGCATCGGCAGATGGCACCGTCACTTCAGGAACAGGCTCAGAGGTGAGGCTGGAGGCAGACAGAGGGGAGCTCCAGGGAGGAGGCCAACACAAGCCTCAGTGCCACAGTCTGGTCTGCCTCCCTGGGGGAGCAATGCTGAGAGGAGGACGAGGAGGGCTGGTCTGCCTCCCTGGGGGGGCAATGCTGAGAGGAGAATGAGGAGGGCTGGTCTGCCTCCCGGTCCGGGGGCAATGCTGAGAGGAGGACGAGGAGGGCTGGTCTGCCTCCCGGTGAGGGGGCAATGCTGAGAGGAG